GAGGGATGATATCAACCAATACTCTCTAAATTCAAAAAATCTGGATATGTTTCTCACCCTCGTCGATTTCAAGCTTTCTGGTACAAAAATTTGCATTCATAGTTAGAATATTCTCCTGAAAATGATGTTACCTTTTGTTTTTTCACTTTCTTTTTAACAAGTCAGATAGTCATCCATCACACAAGGCTTTCACTATGAATATTGGAGTCCGAAATTGGAAGAAAGTAAATGAAAAAGTTGTTATTTTAAGTTGCATGTAGGTTCATAACCTAATTCACTTTATAAAATTGTCAAGCAAAAATTGAAGGATTTTCTTAACCAGTCTAAACACTTGTCACAAGTATTGAATAAGTAAACACCATTACAAATAGCTAATAATAGACTTAGACTTGAAACCTCTACAGATGCATTGTGTTGCCTAGAGGGCTCCCAGTGAGAGGACGTGACGAGAGTGAATCCTCATTTATTCGAGGAAATTTGCTTGAACTTGTGAAACAATTAACCTCTTATAATAAAGATGTTGAAAAAACTATATTAGAAAATGCTCCAAAAATACTTCTTACACTTCACCTGAGATACAAAAAGATATTTCACATATTCTGACAGAGAAAATAAAGGGAGAAATTGGTGATTTTTTTGTTATTATTGAAGCAGAGGATGTATTAAAACAAATAAACAAATGACTATTATTTTACGATATGTGATAATTTCGATTTAGTGAATAAACTTTATTTTAGCATTATTCATGTTCCTAATACTTCAGCGATGGCTTTAAAAAATGAGATATTTTATTCTTTCTTTATCCGAGATGTGATATAAAGATTATGTTGGTACAATTCTAATCAAGTTGATAAATCCTTATAGACTTAAAGTACTCCTTAGGATGGCTCCTACAAACAATAAGTCTAGGGCAAGTCCTTATATATCTAAGATAACCCCTTAGGTTGGCTCCTATATTTTGACTAGAGTAAGTCCTTATGTGATAATTTCGATTTAGTGAATAAACTTTATTTTAGCATTATTCATGTTCCTAATACTTCAGCGATGGCTTTAAAAAATGAGATATTTTATTCTTTCTTTATCCGAGATGTGATATAAAGATTATGTTGGTACAATTCTAATCAAGTTGATAAATCCTTATAGACTTAAAGTACTCCTTAGGATGGCTCCTACAAACAATAAGTCTAGGGCAAGTCCTTATATATCTAAGATAACCCCTTAGGTTGGCTCCTATATTTTGACTAGAGTAAGTCCTTATAGACCTAAGATATCATCTTAGGTAGACTCTTACACCCAATGGGTCTAGGGGTAAAACTTATAGATACAGTTTTGAGGAACGGTATATCAGTGTTTGATTGGAGGATAATTATGTGATATTTAAACTAAACTTTAATTATTTTATAAAATATGTTTTACTGAATAAACTACTATTTTAAACTATATGTATATTTTTTGTTGCATAGATGGAACATATTAGAATCTTCGTCTCAATTTCTTTAATCTATATGTCTGTACAATGCTTTCGAACTATAGACTTCCTGCCTGTTACCTTTAGGATCAATTACTGAAACTTAAAATTACAAATGGAAAATGTAGGTACATAGATCACCATGAAAATTTTATGTTTATCATATACCTATTTGTGACCTATAGCATCATATGATAGTTTTGTATTACTGATATTTTCTCATAGTTCATTATGTTATTTAATATTTTAGGTTAAAAGAAATTAATTATGATGCAATTATGATATTAGTAATGAGAGTTCTTTAGGCGTTATACGAAGTACATTACAAGTATAATTAGGGGAGTGTATGCCATATATTATTTTTATGTCAGATTTTGAAATATATTTTTATATCATATATCAACTAATTTTATTTTGATGTTTAAATGATTTATGAGCTTATCTTATATTTATTTAAATTTTTTATGCTTTTAAATGTTTTAAATGGTTTGAAAACTATTATTTCCCTAGATTTTTAGTATGGGTTACTCTGATAATCCTAATGTGATACATTGGATTGGAATGGGCCACTCTTATTGGTTTGAGGGTGTTACATGCCCAAGATTATAATTGTACTCTTCTGAGCTGTAACTTTGATGTCGAGTCAATAAGTGTACCTAAGTATTTTATTCATTATGACTCAACATTTATCCCAATTTTGAAAATAACCTTGCAAGTAACGTACAAATTACTTGTTCGAGAATTTGACCCCACTTCGATATGAATTTGAGTTATACCCTAAATATTATGTGATTACAAGCTTGTAGTAAGGCTTAATAAATGAAACTTCAAAGTTTCTTTTTGGGACACAATATAGTGGTTGAAAATATATGAGTTAGGGGCTGTTTGTTTGCCTCTTAATGGAACCATTCAGCACTGAATGTTGAACCGTTCAGCGCTGAATGTTGAACCGTTCAACATTCAACGCATTTGTTTCGCACCTCTGAATGATTCAGTGCTGATTGATTCAGCAAAACTGTGCTGAATCATTCAGCACAGAAGTATATTCTGAATGATTCAGAGTCATTATCAAACAACATGTCACATTCAAAGCAAATTCATACAGAGCCTCTGAATCATTCAACATTTGAATCATTCAACGCTTAATCATTCTGAAGTAAACAAACAACCCCTTAGTTTTTTCTTAAAAGGATTCAAAATAGTGTTGGATCATAATCAATAAATATTTTAGAAGGATATATTCTAAATTTTATCGTCCAATGGTTAACCTTTGAGGGTATCATGATCATCATGAACCGACGAGAAGCATAAGTGTTATTAGCCATTAAAGAGTTTTGGACTGTCATATACAAATTTCGATAAAGTGCTTGAGATGGTTGATTCTTACGGATTTGAAGATTTGTTTTAGAACAAGAATAAATGTTCAATTGTGTAAGATGTTGAAGTATGATGGATTCTAGCAAGATTTTAAGTAAAATATGATTTAGTCTTGAAGGTCTTAAAAGAACAATTATAAGATTGCGAACTACCACCCAAGTAGATTGCAGAGCATGTACATTGTCCAGGTTCTGACAAGGTGATTTCCCCCATAAGTTTTGTTTGGATGAACCGAATTGGAGAATTTCTGAAATCATTCCAATTCTATTTTTTTAAAATTTAGAATCCAATAAGTGTCGAGTCTCATACCTTAGTGATTTGATCGATATATGATTATCAACGAAAGACTAATCTGCCAATATCAAGTTATATATATAGGACATCATGAAGGAATCATTTCTCCCTCAATAATGATTATGCTCGGAAATTTTTTGATGGAAGTGATGTGTTGATCATGTTAAGAATATTGAAATTCAACTTAGAAATTTGCTAAAAGGTTTATGAGATAAAAAAGAAAAGTGTTTATATACATGACAAACGTGTAAGTTTTAAGGTGTTTTTATTATGTTTGAAACATATTTTTATATCGTGTACCAGTGAATTTTGTTTTGATGTTTAAATGATTTTTGAACTTACCTTATATTTATTTAGAATTTGTTTTATGCTTTCAAATAGTTTGAAAATTTTTATTTTTCCGTATTTTCAGTGTGGGTCACTATGGTGACTTTAATGTAATACCTTGTATCGAATCGGATCATTTGTATCGATTTGAGAGTGTTACAAATTATTTATTGGCATTATATATTTTCACTTTGATTCTTGAATTTTAGATAAAATACAAATTTGATCATTAAATTTTAGATAAAATAATATTAAAAAGTATCGTAACGATTGGCTGAATAATTACTTTTCATGTTACTCTTTTTTTGTGGAGTACTTTAATCATCAATTATTCATTTTAGGTCAAAATTATCTATGTTTGGATAGTATCTAATAATTGATATTATTAGTATTTTTTTACTCACCAAACATATATGGCATGTTTACTTGTAAAAAATATGATATGATATTATACCATATGATAAAAAAAATACTTTTTTCTACAATATATAAATAAAATTTATACGTTAAATTAATTATAACCAATCAAATGTGACATGTCAATTGAAATAAATTAAATAATTATAGATAGTTAATCCTCTAATCATATCAAACACTTTTTTTAATAATTTTTTAATATAAAATAAGTGTCAAAAATATACTTAAATTATTTTTTGAATCATTTAAGCTGCTAACGTTATTAATGTTATCACTTTAGTGTCTCACCAGCACTGCACTTCATTCGCGGCAGCACGATGAGAAGATTCCCCATCGGCAAGGACATGAAACAACGTTAATAATGTGGAAATTTAAGGTTAGATATTGAAAAATGATTTAATAGTTGTTGATTTAGAGCTTAGAGAAATTCAGCGATTTAAGATCAATGGTGATAGGATGGTCGGTAGTGAAGTCCGACAACTGATGAGTAGGCAGCCAGTGACAAATGGCGATGATAGGGTGGCCTATAATGGGTTGATTTTTTGGGGTTATTCAATGGGCTGGAATTAGAGGTTTAGAGAGTTTAGAGTTTTTTCTTATATTTTTAAAAAAATTAAGACCTTTTAAAAAATATAATATTTTAGATTTTTTTAAATAAATTTTTAAAATTATCTAATCATAAAACATATTGATTAACGGACATTTTTAACTGCAATTAAAACCTAAAATAATAATTTAAGCCTAATAAAAAAGGTAGACCGATTTGATCTCATGCTGTTTGAAATCAAACAAGTCTTATTTTTTCGAGAAGTTTTACAGTGCAACACTTTTAATATATAACTAAAAAAGATGTTACCGATTTTGTTATTATTTAAATAATAAAATCGATAAAAATTTACCTAAAACATTATTATTTCTACTTAAAACATCAATGTTTTTTAATATTTTCGGTAAAATATCTAATAATAACAAAACTGATAGAAAAATAATAAAATCGATAAAATGTCCAATAATAACAAAACACCGATAATAATTTTTTAATAGTGTATTAAGATTGCTGCACTGATTATTTTCATGCATTTTCTTATTTCCCTCAACTATTAATTAGTGGAGGCAGAGGGCTGAGGAAGCAAAGCAGAGGGCAACAACAATGAAATCGGTCAAAGTCGTAGTACCTTTCCTCCTCACACTCACACTCTCACTCTCACTCTTCTCCTTCTCCTTCCCTTCCTTCGGGTTCCAATCCGATGAGCTCCTCGTTGACGACGAAGAGTTCAGTCTCGAGGGTTCTCCCCAGCATCGCTCCCCTGAACCCGTCCTCACTCGATCTCCGCCTGTAACCAGAAAGAGGCATTCGGATCTTGACTCTTCTGATTCTAAGATCCAGTTCTCTCTTGACCATGCTTTCGGAGATTCCGATTTCTCTCCCGCCGGCACTTTCTCTGCCCGCCTCAAAACTTGGAGCCATGGCGGTCAGGTTTTTCAATCCTTTTATTTTCTTATAGCAATTTTCTCTTTTTGTTCACTGTTTTTTATTCTTCGTATGCATATTAGAATTGGGCTTCGTTTTATTTTTTTTGGTTTACTGAAAGTTAAATCATAACGGAGTAAATATGGACAAATGGCTGTAATAGGAATTCAAACATAAAGTTTCTTTAACTAAAGTAAAATGATTCATAATGTTCCTGAAATAACATTACAATGTTAATTTTTAGTTAGTCAATAATGCTTTTTTAATTTTACGGCCAAGATCAGTTCTTCATATTTTGCTTTAGGGAATTAGAAGACAACAAGCAAATATGGCCATTTTTGTTAACGGAATAGGAAAATGGACTCAACCTGTGAGATAAACGCTGCTATGCTACCTTAGGAATTTTGTATTGACCTAATTTTGTCACTTTACTCAATTTCCTTGAATTTTGACGTTGTAATCAAATTTGGACAAACTTAACAGAATGGTGCATTTTGAACATATCTCTAGTGTTATTTTCTTTATGAACTGGTAATATAAATGAACAAATTTAAGAGAACAATGCGTCAACAACTGTCATGTCCTTTTTTTTCTTCAATGTAAATTTTCATATCATATTTAAGATGTGAAATTTCTGCTTCTCCATAACTTATTTTAATACGGACACAACATATTCCATGGGTTATTCCTTCATTATTTTTTTCCCAAAATTCAACCAAATAAAAGCATGATGGTAAAGTTAATGTAATTGATGTAGTTGGGAAATCTCAACATTTAGCCTTAGCATTTGGCACATTTGGTATGAATCCTTGATAAAAAAAAGGCCCCTGAGATAAGTGAAAATAAGTAGCTAAGTGATTCAACTAGTACTTCGTTTGTTCTAAATCTTAAAAGTGGATATCGGACTGTTGTTGGAAATATGACGAGGATTGGAGAGGAGCAGACTGAAGCTTAAGGTCTTTACTTTTTTATTTCTTTTTAGCAGCTTGGCTATGTAAAACCTGCTACTCCCGAAAACCATCAAATTTGAGAAAATTCATTATGTAAATCGTGAGATTAGTATTGCTAATAAGAGGCCTAGGTAAGTGGTGTCATCTGCTGTTGGCGATACCAAACAAGTTTATAATCTGTTGTGGAAATAATAAAATAATTCGTTCATTTCTCCTTTGTCCCTCCATTTTCAGTAACAAGTTATGCAAATGATAGTTGACTGAAAGTTTGAATGACTCAAGTGCCTATAACCTTGAAGGGACTCATTTTTCATTTTTCTTTTTTGATAGGAATTGAAGGCCTCGTTAAAAACCCCCTTCTTGATTAAAGGAGTTTATAGAGAAACTCCTTAATCAGCGGAAGGAGGAAAATAGTGCCTTAAGATTTCATTAATTATAAGAAATTACAAGATGCATCCAGAGAGCCACCCCCAACATAAACAGAACACCAAAAACAGTCGAAAACAACCCTAAACAACACCAATAACTCAGCCTAAACCAACTTAGCTATAACAACAACCTCTAATATGACTGACTAGATTTAAAGCCTGAACTTGGCCCGAAAGACACCACAAAACAACTATAATAGAAGCCAAATAAAACAACTGACTCAATCCATAAAAGCCAAAATCAAACACAAAAGCCATGAGCTTCCACATGATAAGAGTGCAGAGAAGCAAGCTTCGAAAACACTCTATCCTCCTTTCTGCCACTTATTGCTCGCCTTGACGGCGGAGTCCATCAGAACCTCCAACTCCAAAATCAATGATCATATGCGAGTCACCTTCCAAAACTTCCACTACTGTAATTTTCCGAAATCAGAACCACTACTGAGCCTTTAGACTCTATACCCAATTCTCTCTCGATCTCTAAGGATTTTGTCGCTTCCTTCTTTTGCCTTTGCCCCAATGCTGGAAAGTCAGAATCATAGAGGGATCTGCCTTCAATATCAAACAATTCTTCCTCGCGTTGCACCTTCTTCTAATTATACATGCTTCGGCAGTAACTAGTCTTCCTTTGGGGAGCCGAATATTCCTCTTAAAATGTTTGGATAGAGCTAAATTTATTGTATTTCCCCTCCTTAGCTCTCTTATTCTGCCTGGAATTGTGCGAGAATAAATCATCCCTTAATTTTCGTGCACCACCTTTGATGGGCAAATCAATTAAATAATCCTTCATTCCCTCATTAGCACGTGCAGTCTTACAACAATTCCTGTTGTCATCTTCTGCCTCTCTCTCCACATGATCCAGCACTATCTCGTGTTCCACCACTTCCTTGATTTTCGTTTGAACCTTCCCCTGACTAGCAACAATATTCCTCAGACCCATAGTTATTTCCTCCCCTATGTTCCTTTCCTCCTCGTCCTCACCCGACAAGTTGCTGCCTCTAGTTCTGTTCCCCATACAACATAATAAACTGTCTTCTTCCTCAGAACACCTCTCGGAATTCTTCTCCTCCGATGAGTCCACGCTTCTACCTGCTTCCTCAGCACATACCTCCATTTCGGGAGACTTTACTGGCGAGACGCCAACGTACTCCCCCACCATGGTTAACGGAGAGGCAACTGCCTTCTCCATCGAAGACGAGTTTAACCAGACAGATTCTGGACTGAAACAAGATTCAAACTCAGAAACATATACTGTAAAGATCCAATCCCCGACTTTCAAAACAACGGTTTCTTCCACTCGAGCTTGGCAGTTCGTAATAATTTGAGTCAAAGCCCTATCAAACGAGCGGGGATTTAAGGTTCCTTCCTCAATGGAGATAAGTTTTCCCCACTTGTCTGCAATATTTCTGAAGGTGGAATGACTCCACACAAACGGTGGGATCCCTTTGCACGATAGACATACCCGACGGCTGCTGTACTGAAAATTTTCCGACCACACTTCCACTTTGTCAAAATATTTTTCCAACGCCCCAAACTTATTATTTAGAGTATAATCCCTACTCTCTTCATCTTCAAATATGATTAAAATAGCTAAACCGCTTAACCTCATAATTTTCGGACCTAATATGCCTTCCTTGTGCATAATAGCAACCAACTCTTTCATTTTAATAAAATTTCTGCACCAACCTACCAAGCTATCTCTGAAAGATAATAGCTTATCCTCGTCAACAACACCGACAATGGGAGCCTCAGAATGACTATCATCCTCCACTTTACTCTTTGCCTCGGCTGCATATTGACCAGAAAACTTCTTTCTCTAGAAAGCTTCACGAGGTTGAAATCTCGCCATGAAAACTCTAACTTTATTACCTTGAATCCTAGATCTATCAGCACAGATGATAGCCTTCCTCGCATCCTCCAATATGGTGAAGCGAACAAAACCAAACCTACTTCCTCCCTTGCTTCTTTTGTTGGGGATGAAAGAATCAACAACCTCGCCATATTTATCGAATATTAGTCAAAGACCTTGATGATGAAGAAACTCTGGAATATTGAAGATGATCACCGTAACGCAATTTTTCCCAACAAATCTTTTCACCTCACTCGCCATCTTTTTCTACTCTCTCGCTCATACTTAAGTGACTCATTTTTTCTATTTTCGTTTGGAAGTGCTCTAGTAGATTTTAATTAGACTAGTTTTTATTGGCAGACTCTTACAAAGCTACGATTTTCAAGGAACAGTTTCAGTAATGAGGATAAGGAGAAGTTCAAAGTAATCATACCTTATCTAACTTCTAATTTACTTGCTCTGTTTTTAAGTGAGTGACCATTTTATGATGCTTTGGGTTTTAATTATATGTTCTTACAGAATCTGCTCAAAAGTGACGACTTCTATAGGATAAGACTCCCGTCTAATGTTTTGAGTCCACCTGGGAGGGATTTTGTTATTTCATCAGTGAAAGCCGTAAGTTACATCTCTTTGATTTAGCTTGCTTATTTGGATATCTAATATTGTTGTTTAATGTGTTTTGTATTGGGATTATTGGTGTGTTTTGTGTGTGTGTGTTGTTGTTGTGTTGTGGGGGTATAAAATCATCTAGAAGAAACTTCCAAGGCTTAACTGCTCTGCATAGATATGCAGTTATTTGTTTATACAGATAGAGTTTGACTTCTTCTCTTACGCTGAAAGCTCTAATAGGCTGTGATTGTCAATTGAATTAAGCTTTTTGAATCAATAGCTGTTAAATCTGACCACCTTTTTTTAAAATGCTTCTGTAAACTATGATATCAGAATTAACTCGCATAGGATAGTTATAAAACATGTTTCTTTTTTCTCCATTGTTCTTCCTATTGTCTTCTTTAAATCTATTTTTGTTGCACTTTATTTGCCTGAAAAGTACACAACAATTTGTGAAGTATGCTGATAAAAAATGAATTTGGAATTTTGTTCACTTTGGAGCTTAATTGTCATATTGAGGAGGAAAACCTAGAATCAACAGTTGATACTGTAGTTTGGAGCTTTAATTGTCAAATGGAAATAAAGAGCCCCCCCCCCCCGAGAGTAGGGGGCACTTTTATCATATTCAATTATTCGCCAGTTTATATAGGTCTCACTATTTGTTTAACTGCAGCGATGTCTTCCGAGAGAAGGTTTGGATGAGCATTTTGTAATACACATGGTAATACACTATTCTCATCGCTCTCCCCTTTGAATGTCTGCATGCATCCAGCGTTCGTGTGTGATGTATTCAATGAGTAACAAAAAGTAACAACCTTTTGTAGTTCTTTCAAAAAGTAACAATTTATTGACATATAGTTTGGTTTTTGTCTCAACTACCTTGCAGAGTTTGGTGCATATATATTCCTACGGGGCATACTAGTTTGTGTGCCATATTTACTTTCTATGTAAATAGTATCTGATAACATATGATTGAAACAGAATTTATGGTAAACATGCAGTCAGCTTTAGAAGTGAACTTCTGATATGAGAAATTTCCCTTTGGACCCTTCATTGTGCTCTATTTTCATGGCTTTTACTGCTGCTACGTGCATATTACCTATACAAGACCTAAACAAAATTTATAGGCAGCATAAAGTAAATTTTATGAGAACATTTAAACCATGACAACCTGGTGTCTCCTTTTATTTGAACTTTAATTATATGGTTATACTCGTGCACATTCATCGATCATATTTTCTACTTGGAATGTTTGGACGATATGTAAATTACTAGTTCTGGAATGAATTTCTTGATTAATGTGGATCTAACTGTGCATCCATTGTTAATATTTTCCTTTCTTTTTAATTATTTTGTATGCAGGAGGGTGTAAATGTTTTGGCTGTCAATTACGGCTCTCCTGGGTCTTGCCCTTATCCTCGGAATTTGAAATTTGTAAGTCAGGGTAAAGTTCTTAGTTTTGCATATCATCCCGTGATAGAGCATAGTGTAGAAGCTATAGCCTCTTCCCTATAATTGTTTGGGGAATGCTAGTGGCACTTGCATCAATGAATGCTTTTCAAGACTTACAAAGCTTAAAAAGGAGAAGAATGAAACTAAAGCTAAAAAAGCTAGGATTAAACCACCATCCTTCAAATGCTCTTTTTTTTGCAATTATCACTCTTCATTTGCTACGTTCAAGAAAATTTCAAGCTTTACCCAAAAAAAAAAAAACATAAAAATGGTTTATCCCTGTTTCTCTCAATTTTAACAATTGGTGAAAACCCTTAATCAGGTTATAACTTATGTTACGTGGACTTAGACGTGAGTGTCAGATGAGTATGTATGCATCTGTGTATAATTATATATTCCTAAGTTTGCCCATATACTTGGAGAAATTTTGAAGGTCTTATCTGCACATCAAAGGAAAGTGTTGGAAAGGGGTACCTTGATAAAAGTAAATTGTCAAAGCAACATAAGTAATAACTATATATATATATATTTAAAAAAACCTTTTTGTGTGATTGGTTCTCTTTGATTTTATGTTAATTTACATAGGAAACATTGTTATTTTCCTTCATTTTCTTCAAACAAAGCAGGAATCTTTATTTTACTTGGAAATTATTTTTACATTGCTAAACAAAAGAGTTGGGGGGGGGGGGGGACAGAGAGATTACTGATGATAATACTGAAAGAAAAATTGATGATATTAACTATTAAGGAAGAAAAATGAATGCTTAAAAGGATGTACGAAGTCAACAGCATCTAGCTAACTAATTGAGTTGATTTTATGAAGTCTAACTTGGATATAGATGGCTCTGTATTAGTTGCTATTTGAGATGACTTGTTTCTGTCATCAATATATTCCAATTTATCAAGGAGAGGTTTACATTGACACCTGTATGTATGCTGATCAACCATCTAGACTTGCAACTTGATTTGAACTGTAACTTCAGCATGTAGGCTATAGTTTCGTAGACTTGCATCGAAGTTGTAGTGAAAGGTCAATGTGAACATATTGATAAAAAGTAACCTCGTAGAAGATAAAAGGAGATTATTTGTCTTAGCAAATTTTGATTGGGTAATAATCCCCCTTTATTTTGCATTTTATAATCTTTATATTTCAGCCTGCAAAGTGGTCCTTCAATTCACATACAGTTTTAAAGAACAGTGAGCAGGCACCAAGGTATGCTGCACAACTTTTCTTATAAAACAGAATTATTATTCCTTGAAAACAGGATATTTTATTTGCATCTCTCCATCTTGTCGGTTTTCTGCAGTGTTAAGACTTGGACTCCAAGTGAAATAATTAATCTATTTATGTGTCCTTAACATCAATTTGTTGTTTGATACCATCAAAATTACTTGTTACTTCAAGTGTATTTTGAGGGAGAAAATATTACATTACAAAGTTATCTTCCATCTTCACTTTTGGAATGCATGGTGTAAAATTTTGCCAGAATATATTTGAATGTTCAAGTAGTTATTTTGGAAAGTTACAGCTTTTTTGTTATTTATGGTGTATCAATTTAACTTGCCATGGCATTAACCATGTTTTAATCTATCACGTAGGGCTCCTGTATTTACTGAAGAAATTCTTGGTGGGGAGAATGCAGAAAGTGAAGTTGTGCAGCCACCTGAAAGGTCTTTTTGGGCTAAATATGTGAGTAGTCAAATTGACATAATCTAATTGTTTAGTTAGCCTTCACTTCAAAATTTATCCGTGTGATATGATAGAATTTTATGCATATCAGTGGATGTATTTGATTCCTCTGGGACTCATCATCATGAATGCCGTAACGCAAGCAATGAATATGCCCGAGGAACAAGCTAGCGGCCAGGCACCTGCTCAAGGACAGCCATCAGCTGGAGCAGTCCAGCGTGGGCCGAGTTCTGCTGCACGTAGAAGATGATTGGTTAGGTTGCTGCTATTTGTACCCTTTCCGGTATAAAGGGAATGAAGTTGAGATTGATCTCTTCTAAGGTTCAACTGCGTGAATTGAAGATAATTGTGAATGTTTTATACTTAACCGAAGCCATTTAAGAGGAAATTAGTGGCTGCTCTTTTTTTGGTTACCCTCACCAAGAAGAAAGACAGTTGAATCATTTTGGATGTTTTAGCTCTGCAATTTTTCTTTCTGGGTGTTTGGCAGGTCAGAAAAACCATGGCGTAATAGTTTCTAGGGCTTTTGTATTATTAGCATTAGCACATAATTTGGGGTTCTGTTTTGAACAATGGGATGGACCAAAACTTATATATTCTCTCAGTTTGATTTTAACTCAAAATAATTAAATTGATAAAATTATTTCATTAAGATAAAAATGATAAAATGTATAATAAAATTAAAGTAATATAATGCTTTTAGGAGAAGAATAGATAAATTTTTTAAATGTGAAAGGTTAGATTTATCAAATTATTTCATTAAGATCAAAATGATAGAATGCATAGTTATTATTTACTAGGTCACACAACTATTCTGTCTAATATTTAATAGCAAATGATCTGAATTTTTTTAATTGAGTGACTAAATTATAATGTTTAGAAAAAATGTGACCTATTTGTTATCAAATATATGTTTAAATACCTTCAAATGTATTTTACCCTTTAAAAAATATCATTCAGGGTCAAAACAGAAATTTGGTTACAGTTCAGGTCAATTTACCTATTAATCTGAAAAAATTTACAACGAAAAAGAAAAAACATAAATTTCTAATCTTTCTGGGTGAAAAATAAAGAGAAAATAACTTGAGTGACCCATAATACCTTATAATATATGATTTTAACTAAATTTTTTTGGATTTACAAAAATAACCAACGAATTCGCAACTCAATTTCGAATTCGCAACACGAAAGCTAATTTTGCAACACAGTTTCCAAATTCACAACTCGAATTAGGAATTCGCAACACAGAAGTCGAATTCGCAACTCGAATTTGACAATTTCGCAAAACGAATTTTTTTTTCGCAAACCGAATTTCGTTTTCGTAACAAGATTTTCTAATTCGCAACGCGAGTTTCAATTTCGCAACACGGATTTCGTTTTCGCAACTCGATTTTCGAATTTGCAACACGAATTTAAATTTCTCAACCCAGCCTTTAATTTCACAACACAAATGTTTTGGGTATATAAACTACCCTAAATCGCAACTCATAACCTAAACCCCTAAATCGTAACTCAGCCCATCTCCATCTCTCACTCTCTCCGGCGACATCCGTCCCCATCTCTGGCGACCCCCCTCCATCTCCATCTGTCACAGCCACCCTCGGCCCTCTTGGAAATCTCAACCTCCACCAGTCGTAACCACCACCAACCACCCTTTCCACGACCGCAAACACAACCACACACCCTCCACAACCATTCACGGCCACAAATGAAAAATCAACCACCGATAGTTAGTTTTCTTAATTTTTATTTTGAAAATTTTGTATTATAATTAGTATATAAAATCAACCACCATGGATATTAGCATTTTCTTGGACATCTCGTATGGTTAGAGCATTTTCTTGGATATCTCTTATACATTGTGAATTTGTAGTATATAATTTATTATATAATTCGTATAATTGCTAATAAGTTTGTAAATTAGTTGTATTAATTTTGTATAATTTGTAGTGTATATATATTATGATTTGGGGTTATTATTGTGTATAATTTGTAGTTTTTGGGAGAATTAGTATGAATGAGTTGTGATGGTTAATAAGTATAACTTTTACGTGTATTTGTTGTATACATACATGAATGAGTTGTTTAGGTATATTATGGTATGTAAGTGGGGTTATTATTGTGTATAATTTGTAGGTTTTGGTATATTATTAGTATAATATATCTAACTTAGTATTTTTATTGTTTTTGTTAGAAATTGTTTTCGGCTGCAATTCGAAACTCAAATTCGCAGCACGAAAATCGCAACTCGAAAATGATAACATATGGAAAAGTTTCAAGAAACTCTACCCATTTGGCATGCCTTTTGTTGAGTTTATGTTGCCCCCGAATATGTTTCAACGCCTCATGATCGGTGTGAATGATGAACTCCTTAGGCCAAAGGTAGTGTTGCCATGTTTCCATTGCCCTCACAAGAGCATATATCTCTTTGTCGTAGGTAGGATAATTAAGCATAGCTCCACTTAATTGCTCACTAAAATAGGCTATAGGACGTCCACCTTGGGACAAGACTGCTCCAATTCCTACACCTGATGCATCACATTCAATTTCAAAAGTTAAATTAAAATCAGGTAGAGCAAGTAAAGGGGCATGTATTAAACAATATTTAATTCTATTAACGGACTTCTCTTGATCTTCCCCCCAAAAGAATTTAGAATTCTTCTTAATAACACTTGTTAGTGGGGTGACTATGGTACTGAAGTTTGGGATGAATCTCCGATAAAAACTTGCAAGTCCATGGAAGCTTCTAACTTGAGAAATGCTTGTAGGTCGTGGCCACTCTTCAATGGCTTTAACCTTCTCTTTGTCAACCTCTAAACCTTTAGAACTCACAACAAAACCTAGGAAAACAACCCTGTCAGCACAAAATGTACATTTTTGTAAATTAGCAAACAATTTTTCCTTCCTCAAAACAAGTAAAACTGACCTCAAATGTTGAATATGTTCTTCCATGGTTTTACTATATATTAGAATGTCGTCAAAATAAACCACACAAAACTTGCCCAAGAATGGCCTAAGAACATGGTTCATTAACCTCATAAATGTGCTTGGTGCATTAGTTAAGCCAAAAGGCATAACCAACCACTCATAAAGACCTTGCTTCATTTTGAATGTTGTTTTCCACTCATCACCTTCTCGCATTCGTATTTGGTGGTAACCACTCTTAAGATCAATATTGGAAAAGAGGTTAGAACCGCTAAGCTCATCTAATATGTCATCTAAGTGAGGAATAGGGTGACAATACTTTACCGTAATTTTGTTTACCGCTCAACAATCCACACACATGCGCCAAGTTCCATCATTCTTTGGCACAAGTAGAACCGGCACGGCACAAGGGCTAAGGCTTTCCCTCACGTAGCCTTTTGTCATCAACTCAGATACTTGCCTTTGCAATTCCTTAGTTTCTTCGGGGTTGCTTCGGTATGCTGGTCGGTTTGGAATGACGGCACCAAGAACAAAGTTTATTTGATGTTCTATGCCACGAATAGGTGGCAACCCAATTGGTATTTCTTCTGGAAATAGGTCATTAAACTCCTGTAATAAAGACACAACAAAAACAGGCAAATTTTGATCAAGGTAGTTAGTGTTCAAAAAATTTTCCTTGTACATGAGCACAAGTGCTTCCTTTGCCGTCATTAAACACTTTTTCAACTCTCTCTCTTTAGAAAGAATGATAATTTTCCTTCCCTCATTTTGATCACACTCTTTTGCTTTTACCTCCATTTTGGTCTCTCTCTCTCTTTGGCTTTTTCAAATTTTCCTCTCAATTGAATTTGGTCTTCATGTATTTGCTTTGGTGAAAGTGGAGCTAAAGTGATATTCATTGCCTCATGGGTGACTGTATACCGGTTGGTATAATCGTCATGGATCACTCGCCTATCAAATTGCCAAGGCCTTCCAAGTAGTAAATGGCTTGCGTGCATTGGTACGACATCACATAACACCTCATCTTTGTACTTCCCTATGGAGAAAGCAATTCGAACTTGCTTGGTCACCTTGAGTTCTTCTCCATCGTTGAGCCATTGCAGTTTATAAGGTTGTTGATGCTTTGTTGTTGCCAAGCCAAGTGTATCTACCATTAAGGTACTAGCAACATTAGTGCAACTACCTCTATCAATAATAACAAAGCATATCTTTCCTCCAACGTGGCAGCGAGTATGGAAGATATTTTCACGTTGTTCATCTCCTCCATTGGATTGCACGTTTAGGCTCCTTTTGACAACAAGGACCTCTCCTTCCACGGCATGCTCTAATTCTTCCATATCAATGGTAGCATCTTCATTCTCATCCTCTTCTTATTTCGATTCAACTTCTTCATCATCTCGAAGAAGCATGGTGTTGCGATTTGGACATTGGCTTACAATGTGTCCACACCCCAAACACTTAAAACATTGTATGTCACGAGAACGATTTGGAGTGGCGACAGTCTTACCCTTGCTGGTTTTGGCAATGGGCTTACTTCCTTTGGGCGATCCTCCTCTTTCGTGGGATGACAATGGAGGAGTCTTCTTGTATGAACTTTGCCCTCATTTTGAAGTTGCACTCCCATATGATCATGTGACACCCTTCCTTTTGAGTTGTTTTTCCACCTTTATGGCCATATGCACCATGTCTTCCATCTCCAAATAATGTTGCAACTCAACCATGTTTGCAATGTCTGGATTAAGTCCCGCTAGGAATCTTGCCATTGTGGCTTCTCGATCCTCATCAATGTTGGCTCGAATCATGGCCACCTCCATCTATTTGTGATAATCTTCAACACTTCGGTTACCTTGTGAAAGGTTTTGAAGACGGTTGAATAACTCCTGATGGTAGTGGGTTGGAATGAATCGCCTTCGCATCATTGCTTTCATTTCATCTCATGTAGTAATAGGATGTTCTCCATTGCGTCTCTTACTTGATGTCAATTGATCCCACCATATTAGTGCATAATCCATAAACTCAAGGGCAGTGAGTTTTACCTTCTTGAGTTCGGAATAATCATGGCACCCGAAGATGTGCTCTACCTTCTTTTCCCATGCTAGGTAAGCCTCGGGATCCGTCTTGCCTTGGAATGGTGGAATGAAAATCTTGATATTAACAAGATTATCATTCATTAATGGACGAAACCTTTGGGGCCTTATACCTCGATTTCCCATTCTTTGTTGTGATGCACGATCTTCTTCTGGTCTTTCCACTTCTTCATTTCCTCCTTGATTGACATCTTCTTACTCTCGAAGTCCTTGAGTACGCTCTTCTTCAATACGGTCAATACGTTCATGGAGAGGTTCCAACTATTCCCTCAAAATTGTAGTCAATTCACGCACCATGGCTTGCATTTGTAGGTTTGGTTCAACGGTACCTGTAACTTTAGAATTGTCTCCCGAATGATGAGACATAATTAGTAATAAAAAAAATAACCTCACACAACAAAAAACCTCACCAAACACTCCAAGAAAAGTCACTCCCACTCGTGTTTCACTCAGGATGGATTTTACCCTTAATGATCACTCTTGCCTTTTACCACGCGTGCATTGATTTCAAGTCCTTTTGGGAACTTCCTCAAGGCTTACAAGGTCTAGTGGACTTCGGCTGAAACAATTATGGTTTGGTAGTAATGATAGTGAAAGGAAATTGGCTACAAGGAAAAGAGATGGTAAGTAAAGGTAAAAATTGAATAATTGAATATAAAGATGAAGTAAATATTTTTTTAAAGATGAAAAGAATTACTCCCTCCCTCTTTAATTTTTTTTTCTTTTTTTTCTTTTTTTTTCTTTTTTTTACTAACCCGGAAGAGAGAAAAACGATACGCTTACTGAATCGACTAGCTCTGATGCCAAATGATATGATCTCGATTATTTGTTTCGAGTCATATATGAGAATTCCCGATCGTGATTCTAGTAAGAAACCCCATAATGATAGCTTGAACTCTGAAATTGTATAAATATAAACATAAGAAGGAAAATGATATGAAATAATAATTGAAATGATGGAATGAAAAGAATGAGGAAGTTGTTTGAAGGTGATGGAAGAGTGATGGTTGTTGTGGTTTAATGATAATGAAAATAGATGGTGAAGTATGAATGGTGTTGTTGTGGCAATGTTGTTGTCGTGGTAAGTGTTGTAAGGTTAAAGCGGATTGTGACCCGTTAGCTATTTGGAGCTAAGAACCAACAATATAAAAGATGGAATCGAAATGGTAGGGTATGGAACGTGACCCACTAGCTATAGATGAGCTAGGAACCAACGCTATAACAAAAAAAATGGATGAAGACTACAAGACTATCTTGAAGCCGATAAAGTTCTACAAGAGAACAAGAATGAAAGCAACCTCTCAAAGATGTTTTATATATTCAAAAAATGTCTCTACAAATGATCCCAGAGGTGCTTATTTATAGTATTTCTAAGAAGCATATGAAAAGACTCAAAAGATGAAAATATTCTCATCAATTTAGCAATAAAATACACTTGAATGCTTTGTCTTCTTATCTTCAAAGTTGGATGAATATTCTAGATCATTTTGGGATGAATCTAGACAATTTGAAGCTGAATTTTTCCTTAATTTCGTCCAAGGGGAGGAAGACTCTTGCTATTCCATGCTGAAAATTATCTTGATAAGTGAATTAAATCACCCTTCATTGCATGCTCCCTTGAAGAATATGAACAGCCCTTGAACTTAGATGATAATAATCAGATTTGAATGCCTTTAATAGGTGAATTAAGAGTCCTTCAATGGCTTGTCACTTGGCTGAAGTTGAAAAGACTCTCCCTTGTCTCAAACTCATCCAAATCATCCATGCATAAAATTCCCGTAACAATTCCAGCCTGCACTGTCTTCAATAAATCGATCATATCTCAAGTTCCCGATATCGAATTAAGGTGATTCAAAAGGCGTTGGAAAGCTAAGAGATAGAGGAGTAATGTCAAATTGATTTCTAGAACCAAACACATCTTTATCGCATCCAGAATTGGAAGACATTCTGACTAACATTCTTGCATATGATGAAACCATTCAACTTCTCTCATGCACTTAGACACAAAGGTGAACTTTATTCAATATTTAATTGAAAACATGCATGAAACAATTAAGATTTAATCTAATAAATCAACTAATTTGATGAATGAACTAGATGATTTAAATGCAATACATGCTTGAATGAACAACACACTTATTAAATGCAATGAATGTTATGCAAACTTTAAATTCTCATACAAATTTATGCATAAGAAAAGTAAAGTGTTCCTCCCTTATTATTCCTTCTTCATCACGTTCCAAACATGATGTGAACATACTCTCCATGGCTACTTGAAACTCCTAAGCCCTTGCTCGTGTGATGGGACCACTTGGGTACTTATCCGGGTCTTTGCTATTGGCGATCATATCAAGATGGCTTGAAAAAAACATTTCCCGTTCAGTTGCTAGTTCGGTTGTTTCAGTTTACTTTTGGCATTGACATATTCATTATGTTGAGTGTTATTTTGGGGTTGCCTCATCTTCGATATTAATGCAGACCCATCTGCTTTCATCCTGTTTCCTCTTCTTGTGCACTCATTTGACCTGGTGGTATCGTCAATTGGAATTCTTTCAATTAGGGTTACACGGGACTCCAGTGTAAAAGTTCCACTAGAGGATCCAATGGCAATCCTTCAGAAAGGATACTCTGTTACTATAGTTTTGGCTGTTCTGATATTTGCTGGGGTAATATGTCATCTGCAATAATTTTTCTGTTTTCTCTTGTCAAATATTGAAATCTTTCCATTTGTATTGCTCGTTTTTGGTTGAAAGCTCATTCGGGACTTTTTCCTTTTCTGAAATTATTGCAGTCTACTCGGTGGTTGCTTTTTACTGAACAAGCACCTTCGGCATGGTTGAACTTTTTCTTATGTGGGTTAGTTGGTATTATTACAGCATATGTTTTTGTCTGGATAACCAAGTATTACACTGACTACAAGCATGAGCCTGTACGCACATTAGTTCTTTCTAGCTCTACGGGACACGGGACTAACATTATTGCCGGAGTCAGTTTGGGCCTGGAATCGACAGCACTTCCTGTTCTTGTGATAAGTGTAGCTATTATTTCTGCTTTTTGGCTGGGTCACACCTCAGGGCTTGTGGATGAAACAGGAAGTCCAACTGGTGGGTTGTTTGGAGCAGCTGTAGCAACAATGGGAATGCTTAGTACCGCAGCATATATTCTAACCATGGATATGTTTGGTCTGATAGCTGATAATGCTGGTGGAATTGTGGAAATGAGTCAGCAGGTAGTATATGGTTGATTCTCTAGATTCTACTGTTACCAACCTGTATATTGCAGTTTCTTCTTTTTGGATTGTTTGCATTAGCCGTTGATGCCTTGTACAGCCAGAGAGTGTGCGAGCGATCACTGATGTTCTTGATGCTGTTGGGAACACCACAAAAGCTACAACCAAGGGTTTTGCCATTGGATCTGCAGCACTTGCTTCTTTTCTTCTGTTTAGTGCATATATGGACGAGGTTTCATCTTTTGCACGTGAATCTTTTAAACAGGTATGGTCTGTGTTTCTTCTTCAACGAAGGCAGTATATGGTTTACCACTCGTTTTCTACTTATGTTCGTTCCACTTCTGAATAAAATAAAAACGCAATGGTCGAATAATTTATTAAAAGAAAAATGCATGGTTTTACTTTTAAGAACAATAATTGTGTTCGAATTTGTGTTTTTGAGAAAGAGAAAATAATGGTGAAAAGATGTAAAAAGTGGCAATGAATGGAACCTTAGGTTAGTTACTATGAAAAGTCTAATTTTTTACTTTTCTAACATTTGTAGTTTGAATAAACTTTCAGGTTGATATTGCCATTCCTGAGGTTTTCGTTGGTGGATTGTTGGGCTTCATGCTTATTTTCTTATGTAGTGCATGGACCTGTGCTGCAGTTGGCCGAACTGCTCAGAAGGTTGTTAAGGAAGTAAGAAGGCAATTTATTGACAGGCCTGGTATCATGGTGGGTTTATGATTTCGATTGCCTTTTACAGTGTACTTAACAGCTATTTTTTCTATTATATTTGAATCAAAAGCAACCCAGAGAAATTGTTAAATATTTCTTATCTGGATAAATGAATCATGAGAGAAGTGAAAAGAAGAGGAAAAAGATGCAGCTGCAGTCTTTGTTCCATAGTTCACTTTTGAGTCTCTTTCCAGAAGTATAAAGATGCGAAGGAGATCGATAAAATTTTCTATTATCATTTTTCTGATCATTAAGCTCTGATGCAAACAATTGTGAAGTACTTGAAATTTGCTGTAAAATCATTTTTATTTTTACTATACTTTGTCTCATTTATCTTGCGTGAACATTTATGCTTATTTTTTTCTGTTGAATTTACTGCAGGACTACAAGGAGAAACCAGATTATGGTCGCTGTGTTGCTATTGTGGCATCTGCATCTTTGAGGGAGATGATAAAACCGGGTGCTTTGGCTATAGTATCACCAATTGTAGTTGATACGCCAATTGCTCTTTGCTGTTTTTATTATTTAGTTTTTGCAATATTGGGGTAGCTTTTTTTATTTATCTTGTTAATCCTTCATTTCTTTCTTTCTTTTTGTTTATTTATTAATATTTAATTTCATTCTTATTTTTCCTTATAAGTTTTTCTGTTCTGTTTGTTTCATGTTTTAGATGTGTTGAAATACCGCTGGAATCTCTAGAACCATGTCAAGAATGTAGGAAATTATTTTTTACCAAAAGAAAAGGAGAATTTAGGAGATTAGATGTCCAAAGTGGTTTCTTGGATTTTCTGTTCAGTTTAGTTTATATGTAGGCAATCTAAGCACAATCAATGTGTAACAATTTGCAGGTTTTCTATTCCGAGTTTTGGGACACTATACAGGACAACCTCTCCTCGGAGCAAAAGTTGTGGCTGCTCTTTTGATGTTTGCAACAGTTTCGGGTATTTTAATGGCTCTCTTTCTGAACAAAGCTGGTGGTGCCTGGGATAATTCAAAGAAGTTTATCGAGATCGGAGCTCTCGGTGGTAAAGGCAGCGACGCCCACAAAGCAGCAGTTACTGGAGACACGTAAGTTTGTTTTCCCTTTCCCTTTTCATATATTCTTGTTCTTTTCCTTCATAAATGTAGAGTTATGTTGCTCCGACTCATTTTTCTTGTAGTTTCGATGTTCAACACTCGTGCCTGATAGTATGATGATATGACATCCAAGTATTCTCCAAATATATGGGAATTTTGATCACACTGGCGTCAGGCACATATCCGTATCGGATACTCACGCCCGAGTCTGAGTAACATAGGTCCTAGATGATAGGCCTAGCAGAGATAAGGCAGTCATAATGATAATAAAAGGGTTAGGCATAATTGGAACATGTGGGATTGCAGTGTGGGAGATCCATTCAAAGACACAGCCGGACCTTCACTTCATGTGCTCATAAAAATGATTGCTACCATTACACTTGTAATGGCGCCTGTGTTTCTCTGAAAGACTTATTTTTGCTTATATATATACATATAACAGGGGCATCTATTACCTTTGGGTTAGGGTATTTTTGCACACTACATAACAGATTGATTGATAGATGGGTTTGTTGATGTATATCATGGCCATGTCTGCCTGTCTCGTTAGATATTTTTCAATCTGAATTAATTAGACATTTTAGTGTTTTTGGGTTACAAGTTTGCACTTCCATCTTTCCATCTTCAGGTTTTTAATGCAAATTCTAAACTTCACCTTCAAACAATTCATTTATATACATATTGGTCCTCAAGGTATACCCGTTTGCATCAAAAGAACACATTCGTTAATAGGTGTACTTATTTACAACGGCGGAACCCCAAAAATATTATATATATATACATATACATATACATTCAATTATTAAGTTTGGCCCCTTTAAAAAGGTGTATATCAAGTTATTAAATTTTATTATCCAAAAAAGGTGTATATTACATTAAATTTTGGAAATTATTTAAATATTATTCATTAAAAAGAATTAATATTTATTTATTATTTTATTTTAAATGAATGAAAATTCATTTTTCTTTACATCTGATTTTGAGATAAAAAATAAATTTATATTTTTCTCTGTTTGGTTGTTTATCTTTTACGAGTTTAAGACTTCAATGAAATTGTGAAGTATTCAACTTTTTAATTCCATTTCAGTTGAAGGATGTTTTTTGGTATTTTTCAATTCGATTCATATTTTTTGTTTTTTTACATATATATATATATATATATTATGTCGGATTATGAATTTTCATCTTTAAAAATAAAAATTTAAACAATTTTAGATAATATTATTATTGATGTATTTTGTTTCTTTAAATTTTTATGTTAACAAATGAAATTTAAGGATTTATAAAAAATTATTAGCAAAAAATTTTGATATATAATTTATATTGATAAAGTTATATTAATATTTTAATTAATGTATTCAATTGTTTTTTAAATCATGCTTACCAAGTTTGGGTGAGCCATTATGAGTTTGAGTTACGAGCATAAAGTAATCTCTGCCGTATTAGTTTCGAAACGAAGTAATAAATTTTATTAAAAATAATTGTTCAAATATAATGATGATTTTATTGAAAAAATATTTTAAATAGATATTTATTATTTTAAAATATTTAAAAGTTTTAATTTATCTAAAAATTTTATTAATATTTTCTTCAAAATTAAATAAATACAAAAATTTCAAAGAAAATAATAATCAAATTCATTTGTTACGTCATCATTTTGGGGGAGTGGGAGGGAGGGAGGGCGAGAGAGAGTGGGAGAGAGAGAGAGTGGGAGAGAGAGAGTGGGCAAGAGTGGGAGAGTGTAACGTCCTAATATACTACGATCTGAAGACCGATAGGATAGTACGCTACACATAACCACTGAAGTGATTAACCAAAAAAAAATTCTTTTTTAAAACAATCATAAAGACCAACTTAAACACATCCATCATAAACGTAAAATAAGATAATAGAAATTGAGTTTACAGATGTGGAGTCCCCAAAATACAATCAAACCAATTTAGAAAGTATTTCAAAATACATTTACGACTCAAATACCAAAGGTCCGTATACAATACATGTCCTCTACAATATACTCGAGACGTACTCAAAAGATGTTGCTGGTTTGGAAAGAGAACTGCGTGATAAGCTCATTGACTGCTCCTCCTAAGAATATACGCACGGAAACAGATTTCGAACGTTGAGCTCACAAGCTCAGTGTCACACTAATAACCAAACTATACCATATGCATTTATATACATGCACATGCTAGTAAAAATAAATCTTAGCACACGAAGATGTTAAACTAAGCATACATATAAAGGTTGACATCATGGTGCGGTCGGAGTGTTTTGCTACATCTTAGAGACACGCATACCTCTAGTTTACCTAGGGTGAGATCTAAAATTTCTACATCGGAAACATTCACCCGACCAACCAACTGCATGAGAGTACTTGGAGAATCTATGCTCAATCATCATTTAGGTGCCTTGTGCACTAACTGGGACATGTCCGGACATTCTACGGCACAAATGATCGTATTATAATTAGAATACCTCGAGTGTCCTAGTTGTTTCCTGAACGTCATGCAATGCTAGTTTTATGACTTCCTAATTTATTTATGTTTCTAGATGTAATTATAGTTGTAATAATGTTCTCACTTGGAGTTTTATTAATGGAGCTTGAATGTCCTTGAATTCCCGAACTATTACACTTGAGATAAAAATGATTTCTACCCAATTCAAGACTAGGGTATCATTACTGGCCTTACAGTATCGATAATGATCTCTAGTGTATCGATACTGATCTCTAGTGTATCGATACCCTCACTATAGTATCGATACTTCCTTGAATATCAGTATCAAAATAGGCTATTGGGCTTGTTTTATTTTTCTTGGGTTAACTTGAAACTACTAACTTGATATTCAGGGCATTACAACTTTCCCCTCCTAATAAGAAATTTCTTCCTTAAAATTTACCTGGGTAGAAAAGATATGGATACTAAAGTTGTATATCCTCTTCAGTCTCATAAGTTACTTCATCGACGCCATAATCTGTGCCTATCAAAAGCTTCTTTTAACTAAATCTGAATCAGTCGAACCTTCTCCTCGATTTCCCTGATCAATTTCAGACCTACTATCTTTCCTTCAGTAAGTTCAGTCCAATAAAGTGGAGTCCAATATTTTCATCCATATAAAGCTTCACACGAAGCCATTTGAATTCTAGACTAGTAGCTATTGTTATACTCGAACTCCACTAGTGGTATATGATCTTCCTAATTACCTTTAAGGTCCAATAGTATTTTAGTGTTTTATGCCTTTAAGGCAATTCATATTCATTGCTACCATCTAGGTATATTACAATTAGCCCAACACTTAATTCGGGGATTAGTTCATTGATAACGACTCCCTAGTCGCTCTTGTCACATTTCACATCGATTTGCCCTTGAACCAGAAAGGTAACTTACATATCTTTGATTATAGGAGTTCATGTGGTACTCACTTTTCTCTATCATGCAAGTCAATTCGCTCATTGTCTCACTGCTGACACATCTTTCGGAATGATCCTTCATTCATGATTACCCAATACGTGTTCGATTAAAGTTACACAAAATTATTTCGTCTAGTATGGTTACTTCGATTGTACCCCACTCCTATGAGTGTTTTCTAGGCCCCTTTTGCCATTCATGTTCCTCAAAGACTAAGTTCCACCATTATGAAAAATCTTTAGCTCTTATGATCCTTAACGAGGTCAATTCTAAACATCAAAAAGGGGTAGTATCGATACTCTACTTGTAGTATCGATACCCCGTGGTCAAGTATCGATAATACTATGAGTATCGGTACCAAAATGACTATTGGATTGCAAATATTACCCCTAGTATCGATACTATTACCCTCGATATCGATACTCCCCCTTAAAGTATCGATACTCCCATTATAAAATGCCAAAAAATGATCCAGTTCAACCAATATCGATAATGTTCATCCAGTATCGATAAACTAACAAGAAAACCTAGAAATTAGCTCGAGAAACACTCTAGTTTGGTCCCAATTTAACTTATAAATATCAATGGGATTATTTAGGGTCATTTGGCACTATAAAAACATAAATTTTACAATAAAAACATCATCTAAAACAAGAATCAAGTAAAACCCCTAAATATGCTCAATACCCAAACCCTAAACAATGCATCATGTTTAGAAGTTTCATAACACAACAAAGGATTAGAAATACACTAAAAGTAGTAAGGAATTTTTATAGTATGTTACCTTAACTCTTAGCTACACAAAAACCTCTCTAGCTTACCCAAGAATCAACATTTCCTTGACCTAGCTCCTTGGGGGTTCTTAAACCACTTTTCTACCACTAAAATGCCAACCTAATATTCCAACATGAAAAAAAAGAACACTAGTTGTTAAAAAACAACTAAACCATAAGAAAAATGAATAGCAATCAAGGAATGAAGACTTTGAACCTCAATCTCTTCCAAAACTTCATGAAAGCTCAAGAACACCATTAATGGAGAATGTAAGCTTTTCATGAAGCTCAAGAACTCTACATTAAAGATATTACCTCTAGATTTTTGGATTAAAGAAGAAGATGGAGAAGGTTAGAGTTATTCTCTTGTTCTTGCTTGGGTAGAAAGAAAAAGAAAGAATAAGATAATATGAAGAAATAAAAAAGAACATTTTTGCTCTAGCAAAAGGCCCATGTCTATAAGAAGAACTAATCCCCAAAAATCAGCCATGTTTTTCCCAAATGGGTAAATCGCACTCTAGTTCCTCATATATTCTTTCCAAGCATAAAAATCCTCTTTTTATCTCTAATAAAGCAAATTTCTTGCTCGATTAAACCCAATTTTAAACAAATGGACCTCTATTCTATAATAAATCTATTAAATAAATTATTGGGTCGACGTGAAACTACTAGACTAGTATTTGGGGCGAACTCTCTCTCCTAAAAGAAAATTTCAACCTCAAAATTTCCTTAATGGAAACGCTAGAATAGACTTCCCGGCCTGTATAACTTTTGTGACTCTTCAAGTCTTTTAAAAGGCTTTTACTAAATGCATCCTATCACATTCGAAGCTCACCATTAAGAATCACCACACCTCTTAAGAATTAAAAGATAGTCAACCAAAATGAACTCATTAATTCCTAGTCGATTAACTTTTAGCACAAACCCTACTCTCGACGTATAATTGACTAATTGACTTTTCCAACAAGATTTCTAAAATAAAATGAGAAATCTTTCTAGGAATATGTGCTTAAGAGAAATATTTTTGAATACTTAACAGATCACCAAAGAAATATGATTATAGAGTTAGCTAACATGAATGGCTTTTTATCTTACGCTACGGAAATACGAACTCTTGAGAGATTCAAATATACTAGTCATAATTTATCGAATTGAGACAAACAAGGTCTCTAATCTATAAACATTCTTCTAATACGTTTCATGATACTATGGCTTTAATAAAAACATCACAGAA